AACATACCTCATGTCTCGATGTTTCTTTATGATCGCACAAACGAGGCAATTTCCAACGATGTCCACGATGGCAAGTACGGAGTGTACCGTTGCTGTGGCAATGCCAAATGATTCTATCATGACTGAATGTTGTTGATGATGTTACACGGTCACGAGGTCTGCTAGGTTTAATGAAGAGATAAGGAAGAGTGAATTCCTGATAACTAGAGAATTATTTGTGGATACTTGACATGTGAGAAAAAAACAAAACTGCCAAGCACTGATTATTGAATATCTGATGAATATTTCGTCTTGTAATGTTACCTTGAATATAAATTAAGGGGACTGAAACTTCATACTTTCGTTACATCAAACCATATGATTACGTTAGTTTAAGTTCTTTTTATGATAATTTTCTGATCCTGTAAGTTAGTATCGATGGACATATTATGCAGTATCTTTGATGGACTTTGCTCCCGTTACAGGAACACAGGTGCATCGAGTAAACAAAATTGCAGAAAAAGAAAAACGAACACGTTAGGAGACCAGGCCGAGCGTGTAAAACCTGACGTGTAAATCCATGTAAATGACACCGTATCCACAATGTGATGGAATAGTTTCCATGTCATGGTCGGTATACGTATAGTTAAGCAGTTTCCTTCGCGCATAACTTTGAAACAAGGTACATACCATGAAGAACCTAAGATGGCATTTGGGGGGCAATTGTTTCAAAATNAAGCAGTTTCCTTCGCGCATAACTTTGAAACAAGGTACATACCATGAAGAACCTAAGATGGCATTTGGGGCCCAATTGTTTCAAAATGCATGGCGACCTTTTTCTGAGGGAGCGTGGATTATGGACATTAGGCGATTGAGTAGATTTGCCGCCATGTTAGATTATTTCAATCTTACTGTCTATGACGCTTCTCCCTCTCTAAGCCCAAAACAAGATGGCGCTTGCTTGATCAAAATGCATTCCCTCACTCTCACAGGTTAACCGGTGTAACAGGCGGCTTAGGGGAGACACATTGTTTTCTGTTTCCTTTTTTTTTTCCTGCTAGCTGTAACGCTATAGCGCTCTGCCCCGCTAAACCGCCTGGCTCTGTTGGATAGCTAAAATTTGTCTGGCTAACAA